GATGACAGATTGATGGATGCAGCAAACCATCATGGTAGGTGTACACCGATGTAACATACCTGCATGTTCTGCACATGTATCCTAGAACTTAAAGTATAATACAAAAAATTTTTTAAAACATCAATTGGCATACTAAAATTCAGATGAGGAGGTAAACAATAATCCAAATAAATGTATTAGTTTTGTAATACTAATAAATCACTATTATCATTAAAGTGTGTGTAACAATATAGCAGCGTACAGAAAAGCACCATGATTATTTTTCCTCTGCCAGGCTGCTGGAGTCATCAGTTTGATAAATCCAACAGTGGTGCTCTGATGGCCACTTCAGGAACAGGAGGATGTACAATACTGGAAAACACATCACTTTGCTTTTTCTTTACCATTTACATTTCCTTAAGGACTAGAAAAGTGTTTTTTGGGTTGAAGAAATACAGAGTGTGATAATAAATTAGCCTGGTGATGAGGACTGTCTATCTGGAATCTAATCTAATAGGATCCTGAATTGAGGTGGAATGAAAGTGACCTGAACCTCACTGGTCAATGAACTCTGTCCTCAAATCAAGGTAATAATAATAACAAAAGAAATTTCTCCTCAGTTGACATAAAGGCAAACATATAATAGAAATCCCACTCTTAGAACATGTCCTACAATTTTTGAAGATAGGTCTTTTTTTTTTTTTTTTTTTTTTGAGACGGAGTCTCACGCTGTTGCCCAGGCTGGAGTGCAGTGGCGCGATCTCGGCTCACTGCAAGCTCCGCCTCCCGGGTTCACGCCATTCTCCTGCCTCAGCCTCCTGAGTAGCTGGGACTACAGGCGCCCGCCACCGCGCCCGGCTAATTTTTTTGTATTTTTAGTAGAGACGGGGTTTCACTGTGGTCTCGATCTCCTGACCTTGTGATCTGCCCGCCTCGGCCTCCCAAAGTGCTGGGATTACAGGCTTGAGCCACCGCGCCCGGCGAAGATAGGTCTTAAGGATGATTTTCATATATAGTTAATTTCATCATTCTCGGTAATACAAAAACTTTCGATGACTAACTTCTACAAACAGAACATTTTAAGAAACAGATATTAACATGTGATATCTGGTAATGTCTTATTTAATAACTTGCTGTCTGTGCGACCTGATTGTATAATTGTGTAAATGTTGGCTTTCCAACATTTACACAATTATAAGTCAAATGCCTGAGCTAGCATAATTTAGTGGAAATTAATTTAATTACATAGCCATGTTATATAAAGTTTTTTAGAAACTATGTCATCTGACTTTCTTCCAATAATCTTTGCAGGGGAGCCTTCATTTTAAGAATAAGGATTTAGAGAGATACACACACACTAGCTTCAATCAATGTCAGCTCTCCATATGCTTGCAATTAACTTACGAGTAGACAGTCATTTTGAAACACTCACTTATCAACAAAATGACAGAATTCTCCTATACCCAAGTGAGTAGCTTGTTGAAAGGTATGCTGAAATGTTTGTACAGATTTATTTGCCAGTTATCTGTAAGTATCTTAAATATGAGGTGGAAGGTTCTTCTTTGGAACATAGGTTCTCAGAGAATAAAATAATTTTACACAGTGTTCAAGCTGTGAAGCTACTGAATAAATGTAAATTGCTGGTGATTGTAAAGATGGGAAGTAAGTGTGTTGACATTTTGAAAAGGTTAGCTTGCAGTTTGAAATGGGACATAAGCAACTGCCTCAACACAGAAGCAGGAATATAGTTTCTGCTTAGGAATCTGCTATCAAAACTATGTGAGTTCATGTAGACATTCACTGAAGCTAGATAGAATGAAATATCTGAGCAACATCTCTTTTGAATGGTCTTCCTTTGTGAAATACACCAGTGATGAGGGCTACTTATCCTGCCAAGCAGCTCGGCATCATGCTACCACGGCGTGTTTGCATCCAAGACAAGACATCATTCAATTTAAGAATATTTCTCTTTAACACACTGCCTTTAAGAAATTGACCAGGTATTTCCTTAAATACTTAGTTCCATTGATTTATTCTTAACTTAATTTAAAAATATTTATCAAGCAACTATCAGTGTTCAGGCACTGTTTCAGATCCTTAATTTATAACACTTTTATTAAATAATGTGAGCATATTGGCCTAGTCTATACCACGCTTTCTGACAGAGTGAATATCCAAGATTATTTATTGAATAAGTAATACAAATTCAAATCAAAATTTGACAATAATATACCTTTAAAGACAGTAGAGGGAAAGCAAATTACTTTCTGAGCTATTCAATGTAGAAAATATGGCAAAAATTTTATGAGCAGAAAAAGAATTTTATCTAAATATTATCATTGCTCACATTTTATTTTTCTCAAAATATCCTTTTTTAAATCCTTATACATACTTCCTAGTTTTTACTATATTGTCTTTTATAGAAAATGATATTAATAGAGCAGCCTTAAGAAGTCATCTTTTCCACTTCCTGCAAACCTCCTACTTACTGAATACATTTTAATCTAGTGAACTTCTAAAGACCCGTAAGACATCATTATCCACCATTTCACCTCTGACTCACCTCTGCCCACACCAAAAGCTTAATTTTCTTTTCTTTTTGATAAACCTCTGCGGTTAAAATGATAGATAACTAGCAGACAGGAACTCATATTTGAAGAAGTTTAAATTTTGTTGTTGCTAACACAAGATAGAAATGAGATGATATACAGTACAGCTCTTAATCCTCTTAAATTACAAGAAAGCAATAACAGGGAGGTGCAGCTCCCATTCTATGTCTTGATAATGTATGAAGCTCTATATCAGTGTTTTTCAACGGGTAGTTCCCCAAACCAGAAGCATCAGCATCACCTGGGAACATTTTAGAAATTAACTCTGGAAATGGGACCCCAGTCATCTATTTTAACAGATCCTTCTGGTGATTCTAATGCACTGAAAATTTTGATAACCACTGTTCTACATTTTTGCATATTATCTCTCTTTACTCTGCTGCCTCACTTGTTCTTCTAATTTAAGAAATGATCACATATAAATGTTAAAAAGAAGACATTAGTCTCCATTATCTATTTAAATGCATTTTTCAATCACTTAGCTAAAATCTGGACACAAGGTCACTGGGAGAAGATGACTAGGTCTGGGTAGAACAAGTTCTGGGAGAAGGTCAATGGGAAGTCTGAGAGGGTCCTGTGCAGTTTCTGAAAAAAAGGGAATCGTTAGTGTATATCATGAAATCCAGCAACAAAACGTCCTGAGTTATTAGGAGATCTCAAGCACATAGTGAATCAGTGTTCGGGACACTGCTTCAAATTTGAGTTTAAAAAATAATATCCCTAGGCCCTAAAGTGAATAAGAAACGATCCAACAAAACACATTTCGCTACTGAAAAATCATCTAAGTTAAGAAAGTCCGAATTATAAACACTGCTGGAAAGTTAAGGGACACAAAATTCACAAATTATGTGGAGTTTGCACATTTTCCCATGTCTGCATGGGTTTTCTCCAGATACTCAGGTTTCTACTCGTGTCCCAAAGATGTGCACCTTAGGTTCATCGGTATGTCTAAATGGCCTCCGTCTCAGTGAGTCTGTGTGTGTGTGCGTGTGTGTGTGCACACGTGCACCCTGTAATGGAAGTACATCCTGTGCAGGGTGGATTCCATCTAGCACCTTGAGCTGCCAAGAGATGCTTCAGCTATCCGTGACCCTGAACTGAAGTAAGCGGGTAAACTATTATCTTACTTATTTCAACTAATCTTTCTTAAATTTATGTATAGCTCACATTTTCTTTAACGTTTAATACTGGAAGTATTTTAGATCTTTGTCTAAAAGTTTGGTAATGTTTTTATGACCAGAAATAAGCCATAGGAACTAATCTAATTTTGTTTATCTCAATTAGCCTATAGTAAAATTGGTTCATTATACATTGCTTCACTTAAAGTTGCAGTTTCCAAGAACCTATTAACGATATTGAGGACTTCCTGTACTTACTAGGTGTATGATCACAGGCAATCATTTCACCACTGAGTGTCTCAGTTTCCTCCTCTGTGAAATAAGAATTACCGCCTCCTAGGATTTCTATTTTAATTTAAAAAGTTAATATTTGTATTCTAACCAATATTTAAAAGATATATTTGTAAAGACTAGTATCTGGAACATGATATGAATTATAAAAATGTTTATTAATGAATATATGTCCTATTAATATCCTAATTACAGTTTCAAGGAAATATGCATGAAAATATCCCTAGAGTTAAAAATAAAACTATATATAAAATGAACATATGTATTAGATCTAAGAATCTTACATATAGCATTGCTTTTATTAAACCTTCCTGACAATTTTTTTCCAGCCAGTTTCTGTTGAGACAATGCAATTTATTCAAGACATTATCTCTTTTGCAAAGTGTTTCTTATGCACCTATTATGAAAAGGGCAAAGATTGAACATGTGCTTATATTAATTACAATTAATAGAAGAGAGGTTCAAGTGATTACTGTTAATGGACATAAAAATGTACGTATTAAGAGCAGACTGCTGGGCGCGGTGGCTCAAGCCTGTAATCCCAGCACTTTGGGAGGCCGAGACGGGCGGATCACGAGGTCGGGAGATCGAGACCATCCTGGCTAACACGGTGAAACCCCGTCTCTACTTAAAAAATACAAAAAACTAGCCGGGCGAGGTGGTGGGCGCCTGTAGTCCCAGCTACTCAGGAGGCTGAGGCAGGAGAATGGCGTGAACCCGGGAGGCGGAGCTTGCAGTGAGCTGAGATCCGGCCACTGCACTCCAGCCTGGGTGACAGAGCGAGACTCCGTCTCAAAAAAAAAAAAAAAAAAAAGAGCAGACCTTGGATCGGTAGTATATAGCACTACACAGTCCATATATTTAAAAGTTTCTATTAAATAAATTATTCAAATGGCATGTGTTGTTTGTATAAATTATATAAGTATATTCTTTGTAATTGCAGTAGTTCATTTTCATGATAACCAAAAATCATCAAAGGAAAAAACTGTCACAAAGGAAAGCATATTTTTAGAAGCAGCATCTGCAAAAGCTTTTATTTGATGAAAATTTCTTTTCAGCACTATATTAAGTATTGTCCAAGGAAAATACAAGAAATGTTATCATGCTATTTTGAAGAAGCATATGTACAGACTGCTAGTAGGTAGAACACAAACTATGTCCACACAAGAAAATGCTATCAGTTTATCAGTATTGAAGAAAATGGTCACTCAACCTTCGATTTAACCTCCATTTCCCAACAGAAAATCCCTATTTTATTTTACAAATTTTCAAATGCCCATTTCACTTCCTTTATGTGGAAACAGCCAAAAATTGTAACCTTCTTTTCTGTATGAAAATGAACAACTTAAAATAATGCATCCTGTCAAGTAATTGCTGGTCCAGCTACAGAAGCTAGAGAAAAGTCACACACTTTTGTCTTTCTCACTGATAGTTTGGGTTACTTCTTGAAAGACTATCATCAATCATGTCTAGAGCAAGCTTCTAGTGTTTCCTTTGAAATAGTTGAAGCATCATCCTTATAAAATAGCCCTCTCCCTCTAGGGAGTGTATAGTAGTGTAATTGCCAGAAAAATCCAGAATCAAAATTCCACTGTCCCGGTAAAGCAATATAGCCACTTTTAGATGACAAATACGCCCTTCTTCTCACTATGATCTCTGCTCTTTGTCTCTGCATTTTCCTTCCTCTAGTGTGTTTCTGAAAAACAAAACAAAAAAACCCCTCAAAATCATTAAAAACATATATTAAGACAGTGCTTCATATGATGCACGTGTGCAAATTATTTTATTATGAGTATGAAATAATTAGTCAATAAAACTTGGTATTGCTAAAACACAGATAAGATATAGAGATACCCATAGTTCTCCAGCATGAGAAAGTTCACTTTAAGAATAGGTACAGGCTAAAAGTTGTGCTTTCCATCTGAAAGGAAAGTTTGTAAACTAGAAGATATCACAGCAGAGAGGACATAACACTGAGAAAATTGAGAAAGAGGAAACATTCAAAGAATGACCAGAAGAATGAGACAATAAACTAAAGAACAGGATCTTAATTTGGAAAAAATTTATTGACATTATGCCTAAGTTATTGACATTAGGCATTGTAAGAAAACATTATTAGAGGAAGTAACATTAATAATACAGTTGATTAAGACTTTGATATATGAAAATCTGAACTTTGAACATGTACTAATACAGAGATTAATAGTATTGTGCAACTGGGAAAATGATCAAGATAATGATCACAATAATAATGATAAAACTTTTATAATACATCAAACATTGTGGTAGGCAATTTATAGACAATATTTTATGCAGTCCTCAAATAAATATTTAAGGCATACCATATTCCCTTTTGCAGAAATCAAGGCTACAATCGGTGGGTGACTTGCCCACCAGTCACTGGTGGTGCTAGTACTAGGAACACATTTGCCTAACAACAAAGCTAGTGTTCTTATATCACTAAACAAACAATGAAGGCAGGGTTTCACTGTAGAATATGAGCTACAAAAAAAAATATGCCATCAAAACTCAGACAATGAGATAAATGAGAGAATGAGAAAAAAGACCACGTTTTTAACAGTATCTGCGCAGGTATTTTCAGCATTTACATAGTAAGAAGAAATTTGAAGTTAATATGAGTGCCATGTATATACTATTTAAAATTTGTCAAGCAAATAATCATGTTTATATAAATGGCATCTTGTTTCCATTTTATAAAGTTGAGTTATTCATTTTTCATTAATAATTTTGTCAATTTGAAAAGTCTTAAAGGAATGATTTTATATAGCTACCTGGACTTCAAGAACACCAGTTTAATTTTGCCATCAAAATTCTGGTACACAGAGCGAACAGATAAGTACTACTAATTTTGGAATGATGTCTTATCAGGTTTGCAAAAGATTATCATAATTCGTTATTACTGAATACATATTTTATATTTTTCTGAATTGTATTAAACATAACTCATTAAGGATAATCTATGTACATCAAAGGCAATCTTCATCAAACATATTAAATGCTGTCTAGAGATAAGCTCACTTCTCTATTTCCCATCTGGGATGGTGTTAGCAACGCAACTGTGCCCTGTGCTTCTTTTTCTCGCTTCGACCTTCCCAGAAGAAAATAAGCCCTGGGCACTGCTGATAGTAAAAATCACCTTTATGAGGCAGTCAAGTAATAAAACCAGCTTTGTTTAGTTTTTTTTTTTTTTTTTTTTTTTCCCTATGCCTTTTGTAATTTCAACCCAGGAGGAAAGTGGCAAGAGAAGTGATAGAAAAATACAACAGAATGATCAGAGAAACATTCTCCATTCCCTTATATTCCCTTCAGAGCATCGTGAAATGCAGTGTCAGTTATTCCTACATCAAAACCATATCAATATATTCATACAGGCCTTTAGATGGTTTAGGATGGTTATTCATATTGACAATGTTCTCTGTTCAGGTACTGGTGCTTTCTCCCTAAGTTCTTGCATCTTCATGTTAACAGCAAGAGACCTTTGCATCTCTGACAATCTACAGTGAGCAGAATTAGCCTCCACTCTTGAAAAAAATAAAACAGAATGAATTTCTATGATCTACATTTTGTATTTCATCTTACCTTATGAGTTTTGTCATTGAAAACACAGTATACGATAACTACCTATTGCCACTTGCATGCCAAATTAGATGGAGACTTCTCTCATTTTCCTGTTCGAAATTTTGGAATGATTAACTACTTCTTCCTAAAAATAATATTGAGAAGTTTTTGTAGGTTACTTATGTTGGGCATTGTGCTTTATATTATGAATCCTTAAAACAATTATAAAGGATAGAAACCTTTATTATTCCAATTTTACAGCTGAGGAAATGAAACTCAGAGAAAATCACTCTCCATGAAGTCTTGCCCAAGATCACAATGGTAGGGAATTGAAATTGGAGATAAAACTCTTTGTTACTAGGATGCACATTCTCATTCACTGTGCTCTTCTGCCTCTCATTTGAAACTTTCCTTCCCATTGATTTCTAGGACGGGTGTTGCTCATGGATCTTATCACACCTTTATGAAGCACTCTTTACCAATGGTTCCACTCCCTGTACCTGTCTATTAAAAGCTATGACTGCATTGTTATTACATCTCCTCTCTATTACACATCCAAGAGAATTGAGCTCACATTTCTATCAATAATCACTTATATTTCAATGACCTCTATATCTAGATATGCACTCACATCAGTCTTCAATTCCAAGATTAAATTCCTATTTTTCTATATCTTTTTGCTATTTCACATAAGCCTCTCAAATTTAACATGTCCAAATATAAGTTCATTTCATCCTCCAACCATCTCTTGAATTTCCTATGTCATTTATGAGATATCAACATCTGCCATTTTAATGTGGCATAATTGCACCCAGTCTTGAAACCTAAGAACTGTCTTAGATTTTCCCCTGTAGCTCATACACTTGTACTCCATTTTTCTATCTTATTTATGACCAAACTCACTTTACACTACCTTCCCGTGTCTCTTTATCCCATCCCTTTCTGTGAATTAACATAGTCTTCATAGCAGACCTCATTAATCTCATCTGGGCAACTAAAATTTTGTCCTATTTTTCCCCTTGTTTCCATTCTCAGTCCTCTTTAATATGCATTAAACTTCTGGAATTATGTATTTCAAACTAAAAGCTCATCCACTTAACTACTGCAGAACACTCAAACTCCTTAACAACTACAAGATAAATCTAAGTTCCTAGGTTCAGAGCATTTCTGGATCTCACCCTTTTTATTTATTAAACCTAAGTCTTTGTCTGCTGCTCCTGCTCTTGAATCTGATACACAGGTGCACATGGAATTGCTAGAAATTCTCCATGCTTTGAGTTCTGGCATACAATGTGGCATTGTCTATATTCCTTTTTGTCCTGTTCTTTACCCAGGTATTCATTCACTACAAATGACTATACTTGCACATGGTCATACCGCATTGTTATTCCTTCCTTTGTGATCATGCACATACTACTGTTATATCATTTCTCAAAATAAATTGTAATGTTTTATTTATATTACTGGATATAAGCTCCTTCAGATCATAGATTGTAATTCATCTTCATTTAAACAGTGCCTGCAAATGCCATAATAGGGCAAAAAAAAATATTTATTGGATAAAGTCTGAGAAATAGATGGATGAGAAATGTCATATGTTCTGGACTTTAATATACAGAAAGGAAGAAATTGAATCTGGTTCAGTTCCACTGTCACAAATAACTAAACGTATATTTTGTTTGCCACTCTTTAAAATAATACTTCGTTTAATAACATGACTTTTATAATTAGCATGTATATTTACTTAAAGTCATTGAAGAGAAAAAATATCTGCATATTTTTAGTTACTACAATTAAAAGATTTAAACTATTATTAAATAAAATAATCTATAAGAGCTTAACACAAATTTTAATACATAACAAGCTCTCAAAAAATGTTGTTTAGAGATATCAATTGCCTAAAACAATACATTGAAAATTTTAATTTCTTAAAGTAGTCATTGAATTTAGAAATACTTCTTTTTAAGTAAAATGTGATCAGATGCCTTACTTTAACAATTATATAACAAACTTAGATGAGATATAAAAGAAAGCATTAATCTTCAAACAGCCACCTCCTACATTACTCATTTAAAATGTACCAATGTAGCACATGAAGTAACTTGAATAACCTTATGTATGATCCCCTAACCATTGAGTCAAACTGAGTATAGAGAATCTTAATCATTAAAGTGGACGTATTTTCCACCATCAGATGACACTTTCAAATATAATTTGATGAATTATATCAAAAAGAACAAAAAACATGTTTAAGATATTCCATAAAGGCAATCTCTTTCAAGTCTTGTTGAAATAACAAAATGGTAGGCCTTTGTTTGTTATCTAATGAATACTAAATAACATACTGTCAAACGTTTCTAAGATGAAGCAAGGACGGTTATTAATGGCACACAAAAGTATACTAAATGAATATTCAGTAGTTTTACAAAAACCGATTGGCTTTTCAATTGCATTTAAAATGGCTATTCGAATCAATAGCCTATTATTTCTGTTGACATAGCCTATTTCATAACTATGGAATATAATAATTAAAAGTGCTGTTGTCAATAGGCTAGAGGTTAATTGCAAAAACAGCCAGAATGCCAATGTTGGCTGGGTAACATTCAAAACTAAGTCAAGTGTGATGGAACGTTTGTGTATCTATAAGGAATGTTTCAAAATTAAACTTGCATTCAGTTGAAGGTTACTGTAAAAACCTTCCACAAATACTATGGACAAATACTAAATCACATCTAGGAAACTATCAGCAGCTAATAATTTAAAAATGTAAAAGCTCAAAATTCAATAAATATTGCTTTTACTTTAAATATGGCTATGTGAATTTTCAGTATTTCCCAATGTACACTATTGTTAGGTAACATGGTCTTCTACAGATTCCTTGTTATTCTCAACACCTCATATTATTTATATAAACCTTTATATAAATTGGCTAAGTCTGGGTTTACCTGGGATTTATTTAGAAACACGTATTTACAAAAACTAGAAAGAGGAAACTATGAAAATGAAAAAAACAGCATAATATAATCACATGATTATTTTATTGAATTTTTATGAGTATAATCGGGTTCTTAGCTTTATACTTACTGAAATTTGAAGTACAAAAATAATGCATTAAGATAAAATAATGCGGCAGCACATAAATAAATAAATATATAAATATTCTTTCTCTTCTTCAATTCTATATGTTCTCAAATGTAACAAATATCAAAGTTTGGTATATATCATTCCATATATGACTCTCTATGCATGTAAACAGTTGAAACTAAATGCACATATTCTCCTACAAACACTATTAAAATGTACACATAAGTCTACTATTACACTTAGTACTTGTTGTATTTTGTGAGTTTTTAAAATAATCTCTTTTTGATTTTGAGTATGATTGACATACCAAAAGTTGTACATATTTAATGTACATACTTTAATGAACATGAGGTATATACCTGTGAAACCATAAGCAATGCCATAAACATAACAATCACCTATAAATGTTTTCTACCTTCTTTTTGTTGTTGTTGTAAAAACATTTAACATAAGCACTACCCTATTAACAAATCTTAATGCATGCAATACAGTACTTTTGATTATAGGCACTATGTTGTCTTGTAGATTTCTAGGACTTACTCATTTTGTGACTGAAACTTTGTACCCTTTGATCAACGTCTCCCCAATTCTCCTTGCCCAGAGGTCCTGGTAATGGCCTCCCCTCAGCCATTCTACTGTTTTGTGAGGTTGACTTTTAGAATACACAATTTTTATGAGTGTACATAACTAGATAAAGCACATACTGAGCCATAAAACAAGCTTTAACATATTTAAAAGTATTAAAGTCATACAGAATAATTGTTCTGACCAAATGGAATTCAACATTTGGAGATTAAAACATATGATTATGAGTAACTCCCGGGTCAAATTAGACACCACAGTGGAACTTGTTAAATGTTTAAAACTAAATTATAAGAAAATACAAAATATCAAAGTTTCTGAGATCAGAAGAAGCAGTGCATTGAGGAATTTAAACCTGCAAATATTGCTATTAAAAAGAAAGGGGACCAGGTATGGTGGTGCACACCTGTTATTCCAGCACTTTGGAAAACTTAAGCAGGGGGATCACTTGAGCCCAGGAGTTCAATAACAGCCTGGGTAACAGAGTAAGACCCCATCTATCTCTCCAAAAATGAAAATAAATTAGTCATGCATGTTGGCCTCTGTCTGTAGTCCCAGCTAGTTGGAAAACTGAGGCAGGAGGATCACTTGAACACAGGAGTTATAGGTTGCAGTGTACTATGATTATGCCACTGCACTACAGCCTGGGTGACAGAGTGAGACCATTTCTCTTAAAAAAAAAAAATGGAATAAAGGACATAGGATTATATTTGCGTGTAGAGAAAGTAAGGATATAATTTTTAATAAAGTTTGATTTTATTGGGAAAGATAGAGTATACATATAATTAGCTATATATTAGAAGAAATACATCATCTAAGACTAGATATTTAAATGTAATAATAAAAATTTAACACAATATTTCTATTACATTGTGTTACGTATTCTTAAATAAAATAGAAAAGCCAGAACCCATAAAGGAAAATACTACTAAACTTGAGTTCCTACAAATTCAAAGCATCTCAATGACAAACTGTACCGTAAACAGCATTAAAAGACAAACTACAAATTATGAGAAAAATTTGCAACTTTTATGTCATTCAAAATACAAATCTTTAATATACATAGAAAGTTTTTGAATTAATTTGAGAATATTAATAAAGTAATTCAGTTCTAAAAAGAAAGAAAATCGGGAGATAGAAAAGTTGTTTAGTTTTATTTGTAATCAGGTAAATGCCACTTAAAAAATAATATACCACTTTTTAAATCCATAATATTGGGAACAAATTTAAAAAATTTATAACATCGTGTTAGCAAGGGTATAAGGGGCTTCTTTTTGCACATTTTTTGCATAATTGGAGTGTTAAGATTCTACAGTGACATTTGAAGTATAATAAATTTGAGAGCAAGAGCAAGGAGAACTAGCTTGTGAATACTTAGAAAATAAAAACCTCTGATTTGTAATACTGGACAGTCAAGAATAAAGGCAGGCACAGAAAACATGGAGAAGCAGAAACGCAATCATATCAGGAGTAGGTCAA